GTTTCCGTTTGTTTCCCGAGTCCGGTCATTGAAGTTGTTTCGTTGCGTGCTTTGTGCTGCCATTAAACCCCGTGTTCCTGATCCCTGGATTCCTGCCTTGTTTGTCTGCGCTCCGGGCGCATGAGGTCTGTCTGGGGGCCGTCTCTGTTTCTGCCGCTTACCCTGCTGCGCGGTGGAAGAATCCTCGCCCGATTCTCGACCCAGCGGTGTTTGCGGGTGACATCACCGCCGCTCTGCCTAGGCGGACGCCCGAGGCCCGTCTGCCCGCCGCTTCTCTGCCTGAGCCAGCAGCCTGCCCCTTCTTCGGGACGCGCCTGGCCCTTAAAGGGGCCAAGTCCATTAAGGACGCTATCCCGCGGGTTCCGCGTTTTCGGAAGCAGGCAGCGCCCCCCGTGGTTCCAGAGGCTGCAGCGCCCCCCGTGGTTCCAGAGGCTGCAGCGCCCCCCGTGGTTCCTGAGCTACTGCCCTGCCTGGAGACGGCTAGGAGGTTCTTCACCCTCCAGGGTCTATACTGGCGGGTGGTGGGTGAACCTGCCATAAGGGGCTCCCCGGAGGCAGTTGCGCTCCTGGAGCAGCTCCGGAGGGAGTTCACCGCCATCTCTCTGGCGGCTCCACCTCAACAGCTGGAGAGGGCAGAGGAGACCTTGAGGGTGCTGCTCCGGTTGCAGTCGGAGCTGGCCCCTCCAGAGGAGGACGTGGCCCCTGCTGTACCACTGCCCTCTGAGGTTCCAGAGGCCCCTGTGCTCCCCGTTCAGCCCCCAGAGGTACCTGTAGCGCCCCCTGCTGGTGCTGAGTCTGTGGCGCCTGAGGCGCCCCCTGCTGGCTGCGTGCCCGCGGCCCTGCCTGATGCCGCCGCTCTGCCTGCGGCCGCACCTGCTGCCTCGCCTGAGGTCCTGACTCCTGTCCCCCCCGCACTAACACCTGTGCAGGCTCCTGAGCTCCCCACGGCTCCCGAGGCCCCTGTTCCCGAGGAGGTCCCTGACTGCTGCCCTGACGCTCCTCCCTCCATAGTGGAGTCGGAGGGGGAGCTTGAGTGGGACCCCTCGGGGATTGCCTTGGTTTTCCCCGTGGCTTCCCCTGTGACTCCGCCACCGTCAACCCAGTGTGACAGACCCTGGCCGGGTCCCCGCCTCTCGATCTCCCGGAAGGGGAGGGGACACCTGCGCCGGGTCCCGCCCACCCTACCCCCTGGCTCGCCTGCGGCCCCCCTGGCTGCGGCTCAGTGGTCGCCTCTGGTCCCGCTTCCGGCCTCGT